TATATGGACTATCCTCTTCCTTTCCTTCACTTTCAGTATGCATGTCCTTAAGCTGAATGGAGTCTGTTGTCGGCAGTGTTTAGATGGGTCTTACTTACATTTAATTATTGGTAGGTATGGACTTACTATGTCATTGTTAATTGTTTTCTGGCTGTTTTGTAATTCCTTTTTTGCTTTCTTCTGTTTGATCTTCATTTGTGATTTGATGATTTTCTATAATAGTATCTTAGATTCCTTTCTCTTTATCTTTTGTGTATCGACTATAGGTTTTTGCTTTGTGTTTACTATTAGGCATCTTGGTAATGATACCAAGTTATAGTTATAATGGTCTATTTTAAGCTGGTGAAAGTTTAAATGTATACTACAGCTCTATATTTTTGCCCTTCACCTCACATTTTACATCTCTTTACTTAATAGTAAGTCCATACCTACCAGTAATTATGCATTAACAAATTATATTTTTACTGCTTTTCTCTCTAAACGTTCATAGGAGATTATAAATATACATCTCCTGATTTACCTGTTACCATTACAGCAGTAGAGTATTCTGAATTTACTATACTTAACCTTTACCAGTGAGATTTATTTATATGTTCATATTTTGTCACTATCAGCATCATTTGCTTCATCTTGAAATCCCTTGAACATTTTTGTAGTGGTGATGAACTGCTTCAGCTTTTGCTAGTCTGGAAAATCTTTGTCTTTGAATTCTAAGGGACAACTTTGTTGGGTAGACTGGGTGGAGTTTTCTTAGTTGACAGTTCTTTTTCTTTTAGCAACTAGAATATATCGTGCCACTCCCTTCTGGCCTCTTTCTTTGTTCTTCTTTTATTTTTTTATTAAGGTATCATTGATATACAATCTTATGAAGGTTTTACATGAGCAACATTGTGGTTACTACATTCACCCATATTATCAAGTCCTCCCCACACCCCATTGCAGTCACTGTCCATCAGCTTAGTAAGATGCTTCAGAGTCACTACTTGTCTTTCTGTGCTACACTGTCTTCCCCATGGCGCCCCCACACCATGTGTGCCAATCATATGCCCTTCAATCCCCTTTTCCCTCCCTCCCCACCCCTCCTCTTTGGCAACTGCTAGTCCTTTCTTGGGTTCTGTGAGTCTGCTGCTGTTTTGCTCCTTCAGTTTTTGCTTTGTTGTTATACTCCACAAGTGAGTGAAATCATTTGGTACTTGTCTTTATCCTCCTGGCTTATTTCACTGAGCATAATACCCTCTAGTTCCATCCATGTTGTTGTAAACAGTAGGATTTGCTTTCTTCTTCCAGCTAAATAATATTCCATTGTGTATATGTACCACATCTTCTTTATCCATTCATCTACTGATGGACACTTAGGTTGCTTCCAAATCTTGGCTATTGTAAATAGTGCTTCAGTGAACATAGGGGTGCATGTCTTTTTGAATCTGAGATCTTATTTTCCTTGAGTAAATTCCAAGAAGTGGAATTCCTGGGTCAAATGGCATTTCTATTTTTATTTCTTTGAGGAACCTCCATACTGCTTTCCACAATGGTTGAACTAGTTTACATTCCCACCAGCAGTGTAGGAGGGTTCCTCTTTCTCTGCATCCTTGTCAGCATTTGTTGTTGCTTGTCTTTTGGATGTTGGCCATCCTTACTGCTGTGAGGTGATATTTCATTGTGGATTTAATTTGTATTTCCCAGATAATTAGTGATGTGTAGAGCATCTTTTCATGTGCCTGTTTGGCCTGCAGTATTCTTATTTAAAAAATTTCCTATGGTTCTATAGCTTTTCTTCTTCCTTTCTAATTACAACCCTTAAATAGAATTCGTGCCTCATATCAAATTTACCGAGTATCATAATTCCTCCAGGTGGTAAAGATACCTCGAGACAAGTGCTGGGCATAGAAGCCACAAGGCATAAATCTGCAAAGAAGTAAAAAGCTAACCTTTGCAAACAATATGGCTTCTCTCTCACTTACCAACTTTACATTTCCCTGTATGGCCCCGGAAGATGACTGGTTAGCCAGAGACGGGTAAGATTCCTCAAGGGAGGAACAACCTAAGACAGGCACAGTCGCAGGGGGGCCATCAGGTGAGAATTTGGGGATCAACAGAGGTGAGGCTCAGAACCTCACCCCCCCTGCTTTGAGAGAAATCTTCTGCATCCGTGGATGTCTTGCTGCCCTTGTCTAGCCTGGATTAATACTTAGTCCATAGGCACACACCTGATCATCTGATCATCTACATTTGCCTTCTTACAGCACTAAACTATGTTTTCTACCTTTATCTTGCATCTACCTACCACTTCAGCATTTTATTAAAAATAAAAATAATAATAATAATAGGAGAAATGTGGGATCAACATATAAATCAAGTACAAAAATCAAACGAATATTCATATTTGACCTGATTGTTTATAGGTCATAATGCGTGATCAAAACCGAAAGTTTCTGTGATGAATGCCCTTGTACTGTTCACCATGTAAGAATTTATTCACTATGTAAGAATTCGTTCACCATGTAAGAACTTGTTCGTTATGCTTCAGAAGATTGGAGACTGATGAGAATTAGGCTTGAGATGGATTAATGATTGTACATTGAGCGTTGACCCCCCTATACTGAATTTTATTGTTGTTAACAACCATTTGATCAATAAATATGAGAGATGACCTCTCAAAAAAAAAAAATTTCCTATGGTTTTATGAGACAGGGGCTCTCTTGTACGTAACATGTTTTTCTCTTGCTGGTTTTAAGATTCTTCCCTTGTCTTTAACTCTTGACGATTTAATTGGAATGTGTTTTGGGGGAGGGTCTCTTTGTATTCAGTTTGTCTGCACTCCCTGGGCCTCCTGGATCTGGGTATCTTTTTCTCTTACCAGGGATGAGAATTTTTCAGCCAGTATTTCTTCAGATAAGCTTTCTGCCCTGTCTGTGTTCTTCTGAGACTTCTATAATGTGAATATTGGTCTGTTTTGATGTTGTCTTGTAACTCCCTTAATTAAGCAGTCTTAACTCTTTCATCATTTTTCTCCTCTGATCACATAAATTCCAATGTCTTTCCTGAGTTCACTGATCCTTTCTTCCACTTGAGCTAGCCTTTGGTTGAACTTGTGTTGAATTTTTCAGTTTAGTTACTATATTCTTTGGCTCTGATTTGTTTGGTGCTTCCTAATATTTTCTTCTTAAAATTCTTACTTTTGTCATGTATCACCCTCCTGACCTCATGAGCATCTTTATGACTACTATTTGAGCTCTTCATCAGGTAACTCACTAATCTCCATTTCATTAAGGTCTGTGGAGATGTTTGTTTCCTTGAAACATACTCCTCTGTCTCATTTTCCTTGACTCTCTGTTGCTTTCTGTGCATTATGTAAAGCAGCCACCTCTTATAGTCACGATGACTGGCCCCATGGAAGTGAATCTTATCGATTAGCCTGGCCCAAGTTCTCAGCTGTCTCTCAAACCTTGGGGTTGTCCAAGCTGCCTTCCTGTTGTTACAGTTCCAAGTTGTTGAGGTTGTGCCAAGACCTGTTAGTGCCCCAAAGGGGAGGAGCTTTTAAGCACCTAGATGCAGGCTGTTTGGCAGACAGAACCTAAGGCAGCAAGCAGATTTTAAATTTATGCAAGACTCCTTTCAAGTAAGGCCCTGGAGATTTAAGTTGGTTTACTCCCTCTGAACTGAGCCCTGGGGCTATTGCTGGATAAGATCTCCTGTGGGAGCTGGCCACTATCACTAGCCCTCGGTGGGTGTGCCTGGCTTCTGGGTGGCAGTGGCCAAAGCTGGGCTCCAGATGTGTACATGCTTGTTCCAGGGAGACACTCATGAGCGGGAGTAGGCAGGAGGGGAAACATGATGACACCTGCTGGCCTCCCTAGTCTCCAGGAAGGATCTTAATCTGTCCGTAGATGGGTGCTAAGTTAGAGGCCTCTCCCTCAGGCAGCAGCATGTTGAGCAGGCAAACAGGCCTCTTCCATGGAAGTGTTGGGAGATGGGCATGTCCACCTCTGTGCTGAGCCCTTAAGGGACAGCTGATTGGAAGTGCTTTTTGTTTGCACACTGAATAGGCTCTTCTTTCTGATAAAACAATATATATATATATTGATTTAAAAATGTGGTTTGGTGGCCTGGCTTTTGTAGAGTTGTTTTTAATGAGAAAAATATTCAATCTAATGGCTTTCCAAATAATCAGAATACACACACAAAAATTGTAAAGTTTCATTCAGTGAGTACAACAGGTGAACAAATGGGAGTGTGTTGTAGGGACTTGAGCAAAGGTCAAGGGATACCAAGTGAGAGTTTGCCAAAGGCTCTCAGATTTGGAGGGAATATGAAAACACCATTGTAGCTCCAGGCCAGAGGGGGTTTCAACCCTGGGCAAGTTCACTGTGGATTCAGTGAGGCCGACAACTGTAACGACAATGGAATGTTGGGGGTAAAAAGGGGCTCATACTGAGCTTTATTCTCACAGCAGGAGGTCAAGTGTTAGAATCACATCAGCACCTGGCAGTCTGCAAGTATAGCAAGCCCATCTCTGCCTCTGCTCCAAGCTCTGTCTCTGCCCCCAGCCTCTGCTCTCCTGCTGTCTTCTGCTCTGCCCTTAGCACTGGATGGAACAAAAAGCACTTCCCAGTGGGTATGCAAGCCTGCGCCTGTGCAGTAGGCCAAGTTTTCATTTCATGTACACTGTGAATAGATTAGGATCAGGTGAGGATCCTGGCCATGGAACTTTCATTTCCCCTGCAGTCATATGCTGCTATTCAAGGTATTGTAATTGAGTTCCTGTATTTAAAGTGCTTAAAAGTGTATCTGGCATGTAAGACTCTTAAGTATTACCCACTATTCCTTTTTAAATATTCAGCTATAAACCTTCAGAGCCAGTGTTTCTAAACCATTGAGCCATACGCACCATTTGGAGTCTCATCAGACATGCAGATTTCCAGCCCTCCCCCGTATGTGCTGGATTTTCAGTTCTGCGAGCAGAGCTCAGCAGCCTGTTCTGACAGCCCCCCCCCCCCCAGGGACTCCGATGCACGCTGAAGTCTGAGAGCCATGGCTTTCAAGGCTCCACCAATTGTAAGACAGAAGCGGTGACTGCGGTTGATCTGCTCTCGGGGGCACAGCATTACTGTGGAGCAGAAAACATAAAGCCAAGTAAGTAATTTTTGTGCAGAAATATAAACTCCAAACAAATCGGCATCACATATATATTTTTACATCTTCCATATATAGTAAGTCCTTGAGAAATATTTGGTTATAATGTGAATAAGACAAGTAGTTTTTAGAGAACTGAACTGATGTTTCTTTAATAGCTATTTATTTATTCAGTAGCTGTTTATCATCTAATGGGGCAGGCATAGCTATGGTCATAGAAGAATTCTTAGTATAGAAATATAAACAGGCTCTAAGTAGGTAAATTATAATACAGTGTTCTAAGTGCTATACTTGAAGTATGAGGCTTGTGCTGTAAGTGCTCAGACCAAGCAATACCCAGCAGCCTCAACTCAGAAGGGTGTGTTTGGGCTGGGGATCAAGGAATGAATGCGCAATTGCCATGTGTGCGGGCGTTTGGGTGAGAAAACTGTCATGTAGTTTGTTGACAATACTACCAAGAAAGTATTGTTTTCATTTTTTGTGTAATTAAAGACCTCCTAGGAAAACCCTTTCCTTTACTGCAGAAAAACGCCAGATCCCTTTTTATATTATTGTAACTTTGGTTAGTCTCCTTTTTTCTGCCATCTGAGCTGGATGGGTAGAAAGTGGGCACTTGTGAGGCAGGTCCCGCACTCAGGGAGTCAGTGTCAGTGGCATCAAAGAAAAATTGTTTGTTTTACAAATGCCAGGTGCCTGGTTACACTGTCACCCTTTCAAAAACTAACTTCAGAGGCTCCCAAATGTTGTTCTTAGTGCCCTTGACATATAATTTTTTTGTGTGTCACCCCTGGCCCAAGCAACACTTTACAGATTTACTAACTAGTTGGGAGGAAACAACTTAGTGAATATTTATGACTGAACAACTTGGCTGCCATTAAAAAAAATAATGCCTACAAATTAAAAGAAAAAATGTTTTATTAGCTTTTGTAGAGTTGTTTTTAATGAGAAAAATATTCAATCTAATGGCTTTCCAAATAATCAGAATACACACACAAAAATTGTAAAGTTTCATTCAGTGAGTACAACAGGTGAACAAATGGGAGTGTGTTGTAGGGACTTGAGCAAAGGTCAAGGGATACCAAGTGAGAGTTTGCCAAAGGCTCTCAGATTTGGAGGGAATATGAAAACACCATTGTAGCTCCAGGCCAGAGGGGGTTTCAACCCTGGGCAAGTTCACTGTGGATTCAGTGAGGCCGACAACTGTAACGACAATGGAATGTTGGGGGTAAAAAGGGGCTCATACTGAGCTTTATTCTCACAGCAGGAGGTCAAGTGTTAGAATCACATCAGCACCTGGCAGTCTGCAAGTATAGCAAGCCCATCTCTGCCTCTGCTCCAAGCTCTGTCTCTGCCCCCAGCCTCTGCTCTCCTGCTGTCTTCTGCTCTGCCCTTAGCACTGGATGGAACAAAAAGCACTTCCCAGTGGGTATGCAAGCCTGCGCCTGTGCAGTAGGCCAAGTTTTCATTTCATGTACACTGTGAATAGATTAGGATCAGGTGAGGATCCTGGCCATGGAACTTTCATTTCCCCTGCAGTCATATGCTGCTATTCAAGGTATTGTAATTGAGTTCCTGTATTTAAAGTGCTTAAAAGTGTATCTGGCATGTAAGACTCTTAAGTATTACCCACTATTCCTTTTTAAATATTCAGCTATAAACCTTCAGAGCCAGTGTTTCTAAACCATTGAGCCATACGCACCATTTGGAGTCTCATCAGACATGCAGATTTCCAGCCCTCCCCCGTATGTGCTGGATTTTCAGTTCTGCGAGCAGAGCTCAGCAGCCTGTTCTGACAGCCCCCCCCCCGCCCAGGGACTCCGATGCACGCTGAAGTCTGAGAGCCATGGCTTTCAAGGCTCCACCAATTGTAAGACAGAAGCGGTGACTGCGGTTGATCTGCTCTCGGGGGCACAGCATTACTGTGGAGCAGAAAACATAAAGCCAAGTAAGTAATTTTTGTGCAGAAATATAAACTCCAAACAAATCGGCATCACATATATATTTTTACATCTTCCATATATAGTAAGTCCTTGAGAAATATTTGGTTATAATGTGAATAAGACAAGTAGTTTTTAGAGAACTGAACTGATGTTTCTTTAATAGCTATTTATTTATTCAGTAGCTGTTTATCATCTAATGGGGCAGGCATAGCTATGGTCATAGAAGAATTCTTAGTATAGAAATATAAACAGGCTCTAAGTAGGTAAATTATAATACAGTGTTCTAAGTGCTATACTTGAAGTATGAGGCTTGTGCTGTAAGTGCTCAGACCAAGCAATACCCAGCAGCCTCAACTCAGAAGGGTGTGTTTGGGCTGGGGATCAAGGAATGAATGCGCAATTGCCATGTGTGCGGGCGTTTGGGTGAGAAAACTGTCATGTAGTTTGTTGACAATACTACCAAGAAAGTATTGTTTTCATTTTTTGTGTAATTAAAGACCTCCTAGGAAAACCCTTTCCTTTACTGCAGAAAAACGCCAGATCCCTTTTTATATTATTGTAACTTTGGTTAGTCTCCTTTTTTCTGCCATCTGAGCTGGATGGGTAGAAAGTGGGCACTTGTGAGGCAGGTCCCGCACTCAGGGAGTCAGTGTCAGTGGCATCAAAGAAAAATTGTTTGTTTTACAAATGCCAGGTGCCTGGTTACACTGTCACCCTTTCAAAAACTAACTTCAGAGGCTCCCAAATGTTGTTCTTAGTGACATATAATTTTTTTGTGTGTCACCCCTGGCCCAAGCAACACTTTACAGATTTACTAACTAGTTGGGAGGAAACAACTTAGTGAATATTTATGACTGAACAACTTGGCTGCCATTAAAAAAAATAATGCCTACAAATTAAAAGAAAAAATGTTTTATTCGATTCTTAAATAACCACACTTACAGCATGTGTGTCCCTGTTAGCATCACACACTCCTCAGCCATGGACCTTACAGCATGTGTGTCCCTGGTAGCATCACACACTCCTCAGCTGTGGATCTTACAGCATGTGTGTCCCTGTTAGCATCACACACTCCTCAGCAGTGGATAGTACAGCATGTGTGTCCCTGGTAGCATCACACACTCCTCAGCTGTGGACCTTACAGCATGTGTGTCCTTGGTAGCATTACACACTCCTCAGCAGTGGATAGTACAGCATGTGTGTCCCTGTTAGCATCACACACTCCTCAGCAGTGGATAGTACAGCATGTGTGTCCCTGTTAGCATCACACACTCCTCAGCAGTGGATAGTACAGCATGTGTTTCCCTGGTAGCATCACACACTCCTCAGCCGTGGACCTTACAGCATGTGTGTCCTTGGTAGCATCACACACTCCTCAGCCGTGGACCCCAAGCAGATGCCACTGCCCTCTCTTCCTTCTTCCTTCTGTGTAACATTTGGGCTTTTCTCACAGCACAACTGAAAACTCTTCTGTATAAAGACAGGCCATTGGAAAGAGTGAATACTGTGATGTTGACGTTTTGAGTTGTCTCCAGTTAGTTCGTATTATCACACGTGCTGAGTGTCTTTGTGTTTCCCTCAAATCGGAGCTACCCTATGGGCCCCTGGTTGCTTGCTGGGAATCTTGGGTTTATTTTATAGAATTCAGGGTAGGGGTTTCAGTTATAAAACTCAGCTGACTTTCTCTAGGTCACAAAGTAGGGTCAGTAGCATATCTTTCTCTTTCAGTTTTTCATTTACTTAGGTCATGTTGGTGTAAGTGTCTGCTGCCTTATAGCCTGAAAATACCAGCTTTTTGCCCCTGCCCCAGATGTCGGGCACCTTGATGCTTCTTTTGCTGTGACCATTCCTAGGCAGGAAGACCTTGGGCCTGTTTCCCTTTGGCACCTGCCTTAATTTGCTCCTTAATGACATGTGTTCACACAATAAGCTGCCCAGAGAATAGTCTTAGAGCTAGAGGAAGCTTTAACTTTTATGTGATTAAGTTACCGCTATTGTTTACAAATATACTTGATCGATATTCTAGAAATGCAAGGGAGGTGGAATACTTACATTGCAATAAAAAGTGTGTTTGAAAAATTAAGCCTTAAAAATTGTGTGAATGTAATGTTTATAAATTCATAGATTCACTCATTCTAAAAAAGTTGATGAACTGCTGTGTGCTACGTATGGCTGACCCTTGGGGTCCCATGTTATGTGCAGGTATAGACGCACCCCACCTTCCAGTGGTAGCTTAGGTGTGGAGTGAAGTGTAAATGTTAACGTCATTTAATGTCCCACAGCACTGCAGGAGCCTGCCTGACAGCCCTGACTAGAGGGTGTGAGAGGTCAGGGTGGGGTCAGAGTGAGGAGCAGGAGGAAAGGCCCTCCCGGCAGAGGGCAGAGAAGGGAGAGAGTGCCTGGCATTTTTAGGCAACTGCAGGTAGCGGATTAAAGCTTAGAGTGAGTGCGAGGATGGAGGTGATAAAAGGTGAGGTTGGGGGGTTAAATGGGACTTTGTTGGCTGCGGAGTTCTGCATTTATCCTGAAAGTTTTGGAAAGCCATTGAGGGGTCTTGTAATTGAAGTATAGTTGGCAAATTTTATCATACTGGTTTCAGGTGTACAACATAGTGACTTGACAATAATGCACGTCACTAAATTCGCACCATCACTCATTATGCAAAGATGTTACAAGACTGTGAGCTGTATTCCCCATGCTGAACTTTCATCCCTGTGGCTACATTTATTTCAGAATTGGAAGTTTGTACCTCTTCATTGCCACCACCTTTTTCACCCCACCACCTCAGCCCTTACCCCAGGGTAGCCATCTGTCTGTTCTCTGTTTCTGAGAGTCTTTTTCTGTTCTTGTAATTTGTTCTGTTTTTAGGTTCCACATATAAGTGAAATCATATAATATTTGTCTTTCCTCTGCCTGGCTTATTTCACTGAGCATAATACTCTCTAGGTCCATCCATGTTGTTGCAAATGGGAAGATTAAAAAAATTTTTTTAATGGCTTAGCAATATTCTGTTGTATATGTACCACATTTTTATTCATCTGTTGATGGACACTTAGGTAG